TCCCTTCCTGCTTGTTTCTTTTAATAAGCCTAGTTAATTCCATAATGTCAGGAGCTGAATCACATTTATTCAATTGTGGCAGTCTTGTAGTTCAGCCTAGAGATTGCTGAGGCCCAACAGGTATGATTCAAACCCCATATTAATTCAATCTGCTTCACTGGATGCCCAACAATATTGTGGGAGTGGTGGGGAACTGCAGGTGAAGTTAGTCAGGGGATTGCAGATGCCACGGAGAAGACTTGGAAGGTGGATTTCTAAAATCCAGCAACTGGAAGCCCCGTCTGGATTTTTCATTCTCAGTTTGAATATTGAAATCCAGAAAGCCTGGGTGTTTCGCTCCTGGGGCAGTCGCCAGTCCCTGTTGGGGCACCTGCTAACCAAAACAGAAGAATGCACACTGTGCGGAAAGTGTGATCCAGTGTCATTCAAGTCCAGGGAGTTGGGAATTACTCTTAAAGCCCTTAATGGCTTCATTGCCCACATATTCCACCTTGCCAGATAAGGTCCTCTGGGGAAGTTCTTCTGAAGTTTGCTTCTGCAAGATGAATGGCAGCAAATTGGACAATAGTGGCCCTTAAACTGAGCTAGGGCTTAGTGGGAGAGATGCATCCCATATCTCAGATTGCTACCTTCAGGAGAGTTAAAGTCATGTCTCTTCTGACATTCCTACCCATATCTGTTCCCAAATCAGTGTTATCCTTGTTTTTTGTAAAGCTTTTCATTATTATTTCCTGTAAACCACCCAGAGCCTCTGGGAATGGGGTGGCACATAAAAATAAATGACAATTTATTGCAATGGGAGGGGAAGTACAATGTGTTTCAAAGGTGATGCATGCAGGAAATGTGTCCTTTTGAAAACAGAGCAGGGGTTTTTTCCCAGTCTCTGCAGATATGGGAAGAAATGAAGGGAATGGAATCATTTTCGAAAAGGAAACATATATATAGGGGGAAATCCAATTGATACAAAAGTTATGATAGAACAGGACTGAAGAAATCAGAGTCATATAAAAAAAAAAAGAGCTTGCATTGTTGCACATACAGTCACATTGTTGGCTAGACAAGCAGGTCCGTACCCACAAAGCTCTTGTGGGAAAGATCAAACAATCATCTGGAAGTGGTTCCCCTGCACCAGACTGTGACAGGCGAAGGAGCTCAATTCTTCTTTTTTTCTTTTGCAGACGTAGACCACTGTGTCAAGTGCCCAGGACATCAGCATCTGAACAAAATAGTCACCTACCTTTCCTATCAAGAACCTTTGGGAATCAGCTTGGCCTCCAGTGCCCTATTTCACTCCCTGGTTACAGGCTTTGCATTGGGCATCTTCCTTAAATATCTGGAAACTCCTCCTCCTCTCCCTTCTGCTCTCCTTCTCCTCCTGCTTGCTCTTCATTGGCCAACACTTGCCTGCTCCGACAAACAGCCTTCAGCATCATCTTCTCACTGGCTTTCTACTCTCTCTTGCCCAGAAGACCTGCTTAGAAACATTGCCATGAAGTAATCCGGGACATTTGGAGTTCATCTGGCCCCAGATGAATCCCCTCCTTCCCAAAACCTTCAAAGTGTTAACCTGCCATCTAAATTCACCTGCTCCCTCCTGCAATCTGTGCCAAACAGCCAAGTCCCAATTATTATTTATTTAAATATGAATTAGGCACTTTCAAAACAATGTCTTCTCCAGCTTTTGCCTTGTGTTCTCCTTTTTGGCAATGGGGCAGATTTGGTAAAGTGGGAGATGGCAGGGGAGGGGCAATGAAAACTTTATCAAACAAATGAACCCCACTGGGGTCTGTTATCCTAGAGCCCTCCAAAGTCTGGCAATCACATTGCAACAGTCTATAGAAGTATCACTTCCAGAACAAGAGAGGTAGGTACTAGTTCCCCTTTATTCTGCACTAGTCAGACCTCACCTGGAATACTGTGTTCAATTCAGGACACCTGGGTTTAAAAAAGAAGCAGAAAAACTAGAAAGGGTTCAGAGGAGGGCAACAAAGATGATTCTGGAAGCCAAGCCCTGCACAAGAGACTGAAATATCTGGGCATGTCCATGTCCAGCCTCAAGAAAAAAGAAGATTGAGAGGGAATATGGTAGCACTCTATAAATATCTCAAAGCCTGCCACAAAGAGGAGGGAAAAGGTCTCTACTCACTCACTGTCTTTCTCACTGTCAAAGAAATACAACTGTGGAAACAATTGCCAAGGGAGCTGGTGGGCTCTCCCACACTAGAGACATCCAAGGTGAAATCAGTGGGATAGTGTGACTTGGCATCTTGAACCAGCAGGGGGTTGGACCTGATGGACTTCTTGGCCCCTTCTCAACCTACTATTCTATAATTCTATGAATGCTCCAAGGTTTTCAGTAGTTCTGTCCCAGTTTTTCACAAACAGGAATGCTAAACCAGAGTGAAAAAGAGGCTGTGTGCCTAATAGTTATATGTCTAGTGCATGTCTTCAACTAGAAAACAATGGATGACAACAACAACAATTGGTGATTCTATCCCAGTTTTTAACATACATGGCCAGACAAACTCACAAAGAAAAGCCATTTAGCAGCATAGAATCATATAAGAGCAGAGTTGGAAAGGGATAGAGGGCCATTGGGTCCATGCCCTGCTCAGTGCAGGACACCCAGTCAAACCATCCCTCTCAGATGGCTGTCCAGTTGCATCTTGAGTGCCTCCAGTGTGGGAGAGCTCACCACCTCCCTAGGCAACCAGTACTTTTGTCATATTGCTCTAACAGTTGTATGCCTGGTATATGTCTTCAACTAGAGGCCAAACTCTGAAAATAACAATCAAAATTGTGACAATTCAGGGCTAATCGTTATTTTAAAAAATAGTATTTTAAAGTCTAACAGTTGTTTTTTCTTTAATTTATTTTATTGGTTATATGTTACTTATTATATTGTTATACATTGTTTACTGAATTTTGATTTAAATGATTGCAAGCTGTCCTGGAGAAGGAAATGGCAACCCACTCCCATATCTTTGCCATGAAAACCCCATGGCCAATACCAAAAGGCAAAAAGATATGACACCGGAAGATGAGCCCCTCAGGTCGGAAGGTGTCCAATATGCTACTGGGGAAGAGCGGAGGGCTAGTACTAGTAGCGCCAGAAAGAATGAAGTGACTGGGTCAAAGCCGAAAGGACACTCAGTTGCAGATGTATCTGGGGGTGAAAGGAAAGTCTGATGCTGCAAAGATCTATACTCCATAGGAACCTGGAATGTAAGACCTATGAATCAAGGCAAGCTGGATGTGGTCAAAAAAGAGATGACAAGACTGAACACTGTCATCTTAGGAATCAGTGAACTAAAATGGACAGGAATGGGTGAATTTAATTCAGAGGACCATCAGGTATACTACTGCGGGCAAAAGTCCCTCTGAAGAAATGGAGTAGCCTTCATAGTCAATAAAAGAGTAGGAAAAACAGTTGTTGGTAGTTGCTAAGTTGTGTCCGACCCACTGTGACCCCATGGACAACTTTCCTCCAGGCCTTCCTGTCCTCCATCATCCCCCGGAGTCCACTTAAGCTCACACCAACTGCTTCAGTGACTTGATCTAGCCACCTCATCCTCTGCTGTCCCCTTCTTATTTTGACATCTATTGTTCCCAACATTGGGCTCTTCACCAGGGAGTCCTTCCTTCTCATTAGGTGGCCGAAGTATTTGAGTTTCATCTTCAGGATCTGGCCTTCTAAAGAGCAGTCAGGGTTGATCTCCTCTAGGACTGACTGGTTTGATCGTCTTGCGGTCCAAGGGACTCGCAGGAGTCTTCTCCAGCACCACAATTCAAAACCCTCAATTCTTCGGCGTTTAACCTTCCTTCTGGTCCAACTTTCACAGCTATACATTGCAACTGGGAAAACCATAGGTTTGACTAAAAGCACTTTTGTTGGCAGGGTGATGTCTCTGCTTTTTAGTATGCTGTCTAGATTTGCCATAGCTTTCCTCCCAAGGAGCAAGCGTCTTGTAATTTCTTGGCTGCAGTCCTCATCTGCGGTGATCTCGGAACCCAGGAAAATAAAATCTGTTACTACCTCCATTTGTTCCCCATCTATTTGCCAGGAAGTGAGAGGACACAGAAACATAGAAACAGAGCGAGTCAGAAGGGGTCTCCCGGGCCATCTAGTCTGACCTCCGGCACCAGCCGGCTCCGCTCACAACAAGCCCACCATGTGCACGTCAGGACCAGATGCCGTGATCTTAGTTTTCTTAATGTTGTGTTTCAAGCCAACTTTTGCGCTCTCCTCTTTCACCTGCATCAAGAGGCTCTTCAGTTCCTCTTCACTTTCTGCCATTAGAGTGGTATCATCTGCATATCTGAGGTTATTGATATTTGGCCCAGCAATCTGAATTCCAACTGGTGATTCATCTAGACCCCCCTTTCTCATGCCGTACTCTGCATATAAATTAAATAGGTAGGGTGACAGTATACAGCTTTGCCAAACTCCTTTCTCAATTTTGAACCAATCAGTGGTTCCGTGTCCAGTTC